ATTTAACTCCATTCACCACCACTCTCTGGGCCCAGCCCTCCAGCCAGTTTTTAACCCAGCAGAGGGTATTCCCATCCAAGCCATGGGCAGCCAGTTTCTCCAGGAGGATACTGTGGGAGACTGTATCAAAGGCTTTGCTGAAGTCCAGATAAACAACATCCACAGCCTTTCCTTCATCCAGCAAGCGGGTCACTTTGTCATAGAAGGAGATCAGGTTTGTCAAGCAGGACCTGCCCCTCGTGAACCCGTGCTGGCTGGGCCAGATCGCATGGGTGTCCTTCATGCGTTGCATGATGGCTCCCAGGATGATCTGTTCTATGATCTTCCCAGGCACCGAGGTCAGGCTGACAGGCCTGGAGTTCTCTGGATCATCCTTACGGCCCTTCTTGTGGATGGGCGTCACAATTGCCAGACGCCAGTCGGCCACGGTGGGGGCTGGGCTGGAGGCCCCGGCGGGAGCCGAGCTGAGCTTCGGGACCTCGCCTCACGGGGAAGGGCTGGGTTCACCCCCCCCCAGCCAGGGGAGCTGAAATACGGACCCTGCCTTTCCTCCCTCCGCGGGCATTAGTCCATCCAGGTCTGCTGGCTCGTCTCCAGGCGTTATTGTGATTGTCCCCCTGTACTCGGCACTGGTGAGGCCTCACCTCGAGTACACGGCGGGGGCTGGGCTGGTGGCCACAGCGGGGGCTGGGCTGAGCTTCGGGACCTCGCCTCACGGGGAAGGGCTGGGTTCACCCCCCCCCAGCCAGGGGAGCTGAAATACGGACCCTGCCTTTCCTCCCTCCGCGGGCATTAGTCCATCCAGGTCTGCTGGCTGCTGTCCAGGTGTAGAGAGGTGGGGGTCAGTCTCTTCTCCCAAGTCACAGGCGACAGGACGAGAGGAAATGGCCTCAAGTTGTGCCAGGGGAGGTTCAGGCTGGATATTAGGAAACATTTTTTCACTGAAAGAGTTATCAGGCATTGGAATGGGCTGCCCAGGGAGGTGGTTGAGGCACCATCCCTGGAGGTGTTCAAAAGACGGGTTGATGTAGTGCTGGGAGGTATGGTTTAGTGATGATGCTCCTTGTTTGTTGTGTGGGTGTCTATTTTTGTCAGTTAGGTTGACGGTTGGACAAGATGATCTTTAAGGTCCCTTCCAACCTAGAAGATTCTGTGATTGTTATCTCCAGGTTCCCCCATTGGTGAAGGATGGAAGGAAGAGGTCACAGCGCGATCACCAAGGCACAAGGAACTGCCCTCCCTGTTGGCATCCAGGTTCCCCCATTCGCGAAGGATGGAAGGAAGAGGTCACAGCACGATCACTAAGGCACAAGGAACTGCCCTCCCTGTTGGCAAACCAGACCCAGGGCGTTTTCTCTGGTCCCCGGCCTTGCAAAGCCAGCAGGATGCTGGGGGAGGCTGTGGCAAGCTCCAAGGGGAAGCCCAGTATAAGGCACCAGTCCACTAGATCTCCAGCACAGCCTTTCAGAAGACACCTTTACCGACCCCACAGTTGACACATTGGAGTGCAGGACCATCTATAGCTCTACACCTCCATAATGGGAAGGGGATGCCCCTGTAGAACAGAAACAAACCACCACATCCTCACACACCACCAGCAGTATGGTCTATTTCAGCAAGTACCATCTTGACTGCAAAGAGGAGGCCGCCATCACCACCACCACAGCCTGCAGATGGAATCAGGCTAGAGGACACACCACCCTTCATGCAGAGGAACCCCACAAAGGGGCCCGGTGTGGTGCAGTGGCTTTCACGACCTCAGGGGGCTGCAGCTCTGGGCACCAGCACATGCACACACCACCCAGATTTCAAGCAGTGCCTTCTGCTGCCAGATACAACTCACCCACCCCGTGGCTGGAGCTCTCTGCCCGTACCCAACACTCCCCGGTTCCTTTGGTGCCCACTGATGGTCAGAGAGCTAACGCAGGAGCAGTCTTTTGACTTCATTCTGTAACACACTGAACCTGGATCTCTCTTTGGGAGTCCAGCTCCAGTGCAGTTCCTCAAAACTTAGAAGCTGCTGAGATACCTGGTGTCTCTAGTGACTGGAAGGACAGGGCACCGCCACAAGGGTGGCACAGGGTGTTTTCAGACCACCACAGTTCACAGTCCTCTCGCAGAGGGCATCTTTGGTATGGAGAAAACTAAGGAACTATTACTGATAGCGTGGTGGTAACAGTGGGCATTTTCAAATGCATCGGGGCAGAAAGGAGGTACCTCCTTGAACAGACTGGAATAACCAACCACCAGTGCACTGCAGCAATCCCTTCTATCTTCCGAAGCAGAAAGCCATTTTTCATTTAGATGTATTAGCAGATCATTAAGTTATCTTTTACTTCTTTCTACACAGGAAGAACAGCAGGAAGTTGTTGTCTGTCGTTGGGGTTTTTGGTTGGTTGGTTTTTGGTGGTTTGTGTTTTGGTTTGTTTTTTTTTTCCAGAACACCATTTCTGAAGTGATGGCACATGTCCAACAACTTTGGCCATTTTCCAATGTAAATAATGTTGTCCTACTGGGCGTCTGTCCTGCTCTTAACGCCTGAGCTCCTCAGACATCAAATCTGCCCCCAGGGCTAGAAGCTTCCAGTACAATTCCCTTTTCCCAGCTTCAGTCTAAGGAGCAACCAGACAAGTAGAAGGCACCCGAGTACTTGAACTGGGAAGGCTGCAATACAAGCCGAGACATTAAAGGGAATCCGTGTTCTCCACCCACGGGAGGACTTTTGCTGAAGAACACAGATCAACCACTGAACAACCTGCAGGAAACCAGAGTTCACTCCACTGCACGTACATGGGACTACCTGCAGCACTGAAGCACTTCAACCCCAACAAACAGATGAACCAAAGCTACTGGTAAACATTTCATAAAAGATTTATTTAAGTATCATTTATCACAAAGAGGAAAATACGTATAAGATTAGAAGCATGCAACCATCTTCCACGTTTCTATTTATTTCTCTTGCATTCCCAGCACGCTGTAATACAACTCCTGTGCCACCTTCACTTCTTCCTGAAAAATATTACGTTTCAAGACATGGGATAACCGAGAAAAAAAACCAAACAAAACCACAATAAAAGGTAAGATAACGTATGAGAAAAGTGCAAAGTAAAAAAAGTCACGTATATACCACATTCAAACCCCTCCCTCTCCAAAAAACGGATAAAGGCAAACTGTCATTTTGCTGCACGATCAGATTGTCTTTATGAACTACTTTACAAAAAAATTAATATAAATTAAGGGCACGATCCTGCAGACACTTATAATTGTAGCTAACTTCAACCATAGATTGGCTCAGTTGGTATTATTAAAAGCCACAAGTTAGTCACACGCATAAGTTCTTGCAGTATAAGGCCCCAAGGCAGTAAAATGTTTAAGAGCATTAAGGAGAACAAAAATTAAAGCAAACAAAATCACTCCCAGATGT